CCCCAGGAGTGGAACTGCCATTTCTTTTGTCTCTTGTGAAGATGGAAAGGGGGGGAAAAAATAGCCCACTGGCTTTTGTCCTAAATTCAGACCAGCTGCTTACTAGTATTGTCCCTCTGCCTCGATTTTTACAGTTTTTACTCTCACAAAGCACACTCCTGGGCCCCTAGCTTCCAATTCTCATATATCAGTGACATGAATATCTCTGTTTCCTCTCGAACAGACCACAAATTTTGCTGTCTTTCATCTGAGAAGTGAAACCCCAAAAAGCGGAGTTTACTGCAGGGATTTTACAGCCGGAGCCTCCTCTGCTCCTGCGCAGGAGGGTGGAGGTGCCCAGCTCCGGCTGGCTCCCAGACCTGCTCCTACATCAAGGGGCTTTGAAAGCTCCAAGTGCTTAACTGGAAGGGACACAAAGATCTCCAAGCTTATTTTGCATGCAATTAAGTTGTTGCTTTGCTCTCTCTCTCCTCCTGGCAGACAAGTGCTACACCAGGGAAGGTACAAGAGGCTCCAGTCATTGACAGGTTGGGCACAGCCCCCCCCCTCCCCTATTCTCTTTTTTTTGTTACTGAAACCATCCATCTGCCAAATGTCACTAGCTGATAAGAACTGCCCGTTTTTAAATCCTCATTTGTAAATAGATGTTGGCTGACATAATTAATGTCTACCATACAACACAATTTGAATTACAAAGTAAAGGCAATTTAAAAATCAGCCTCCACATGATTACAATTGATACTCAGTCTATAAATTCCATAGCCCCAGGAATTATTTAAATTTCTGAAAATGAATGAAAATCAGTACAAGATGTCTTTCAGGAAAGCGAGATGAGAAGTGGAGCATCTGAGATAAACTAAATAGCCTCTTGAGATAAACATTCTTTGGTGCAGTAATACCTATGGCTCCAGGCCACCAAGGGTCTGTAATGTCTGCTACACTGTCAGGGCTGTTATCTGCTATGCCACTGCCACCTACTCAGAATAAATCCCCTTAACTGATAAGCACATTATGTTGAGGACCCCTGCTTGTCACTTCCATCTAACTGGGTGGTTTATATGAACACCGTGGCACTGAACTGCTCGGCTCTAAGACACCGGTACCGCTGGCCGGCTGGGACTGAGCCTTCAGTGCATAAGCACAGGAAAGTCAGGGGAAGACGTGCAAAATGTATAAGGCAAAATACCGACTATGGCACTTGGAAACGTCTACCCCAGATTCAGTCTTTCTGCTAACTAGAAATAACAAGTTTAAAGGGATAACAAACATTTCTAACAAACGAGCTGCGGCATTAGTCTGGGGAGAAAGACTAGCAACACAAGAGTAATTTAAAGCATGTATACGTCGTGCCTCCCGCACGCCAAAAGAAATAGCTCTGTTATTTCCTAGAGATGCCTGTACCCAGGCTCCCCGGCAGCGTGGCACAGCCAGGAGCTCTCCCACGCGTGGATCCTGCGCCCGAGGAGGATCCAGCACAGAACAGGACACACCGCCAAGCTTTGCCTCTTTTTCCTGTCTTTATGCTATCACTTCAGGCTTTAAGTGAATTTCATTGTTTTCCTGCTAGTCCTTCCTTTGTAAAATCAGAAAAAATAATTTGAGGGTGTCTAGATTTACTAGAAAAATGAATCTCTTTAGAAATAAATAATACCACAAAGGAGCAATGAAATCTGCTTCCAAGGAAGCAAACGTGTTACTGCAAATCACAGGCTGGCAGTTAAGTTCTGCATAAATACATCAGATACGTGGTAGTGATATCCACGTGATAAATTACATTTATCACGCACCTTTGACCATCTCACCTGCACTCGGGTCCCCCAGTGAGGAAATGTTAACATTCCCGATCTTTCATCAGTTTCAAACAGCTGCCGTTAAAAAAACCCTACAAAACCTCCCAAACTCACAGCAAAGAATTCCACATCTTCCCAGAGATAACCTTATCTTTCGCTTTTGAAATGCGAGGTTTTCCCTAAATTATGCTGGCACAAAATCCAGGGTTGCGGGCAGGATGTTCAATCAATCTTAAGAGCATACAATTAAAGTTACCTATCAGGGACAGAAGTGGAAGCAAGCATCACTGGGAATCACCATAAGATCTGCAAAAGACATGTGGTGTAAGAAATACCAGCAAGTGTTTGCATCATTGGAAATATAAGGGTCCCAGATTTTTATCTGCAAATATGTGATCTTTGTTTCTTGTGCAACAAATGGTCAAGGCATTCGTGTTTGAAATAAGAAAGTTATAAACAAAACAAGGTCAAATTAAAACAAGGCTGCTCCAATCTGAGACACTTTGTTATTATCTCTGGAATCGGAAACTAGGAATCATCTCCAACTCTCCCAAACGACCAAGCACATCTCGCAGCAGTATCTATGAACCACACCGCTGACGTTACTGAACTCCTGACGTTACAGAAGGGTGCAGACGCGGCTGTCCTAGGGTACCACACAGTACGGTCTAACACTTGGTTACCCCCCTGCAAATGGTAATGAAAGGTCTACATTTAAATGTTGTTTCCCCTACAACCAGCAACATGTACAACAATGTGGCTGCTGTGAGAAGATTACAAGGAGAGAAAATCCACAGGAAAATGTAAACTCAAAAAACCACCAGTTAAGCAGTGAGAACTTTCTTTCTCATTAGTTTTCTAACTCCTTTCCTTCACATTCCTCTTTGTTATGGAGTGGAATGACTTTTTTTTTTTTTTTAAATGAGGTGCAAATGCATTTTCACACCTCTACCTAAAACTAGGTTAAGTCTCCAAGCTAATTACACATTATTAATGAGTTCAACAACTGTGGGTAGGCTGGTTAGAGAAGGGATGCAGGTCTGCACGTCGTGCGTGTATGCAACGTGGATGCACGCTTGTACTGTGCGTGGGTCTGATGCGCCCAGGTGCTGAACTCTCTTCGCATTTGCAGTATCAGAATGTTTAACACTGAAAATCATAGTCGACAACGGAATCCTTTTCTTCTGTTTTTCTCTTTTCTTTTTAAATATGTTTGTAGGGGTTTTTTGTTGAGTTTTTTGGGGGGTTTTGTTTTGTTTTTTTTAATACCAAAATGCACTAAAATATTACATACAGGTCACCATTTTCAGGACTCTCCCCAGGTGTGCTTCATTACAAAGACCAGTATCACCTCAATAACATTTATTCCTCTATTAAACAAGCTGCCTGGCCTCTCTGACACAGACTGGGAGCTGACTGTCAAAAGTTTTAGCTACCCAGCACAAACAATACAACATCGGGTTACGCACCAGTGCAGATCATCATGTTCTGGCAAAGTCTGCTCGGGTGGTTTAAAGTCAACGTCTTCCACTGATGGCATCATTGCCAGAGATTGTCCCCTCCACAGCAGAGCTGGCAGAGGGACACGTAACCACATCTCAGTTGCAAATTAGGGAGGAAGAGCTTACTTGGGACAGACACCAGTAGTCCTCTCTGGTGCCTGCCCTGCCTGCCGTACAGGGACAGCTTAGCCCTGTGCAAAATAGGTCTCCAAGAGCAAGCTGTAACTTGACAAATTAAAGATAATGAAAATGAGTGCCAGATTACTTTAATGTGCTGGGCTTTAGCTGCCAGGGGTGAAAATTTGAACTGTGACAGCCTCTAGAGCAAGGGCTTTTGGTGAGATGGAGCTCTTCACTCCAACTCCTCCAGGCTGGACTTTGCAGGTGAAGCACGGGCACATGAGAATCATCTTTTAGCACCAACTCTGCAAAGAGATGCCAAAATCAACGCAGAAATCCCTGAACAACATAAGATCCAAGATCTAGGCAACTGCAGCCAGAATGACACAGTCCTTAAAAACAGGTATTTTGTTGTTTTAATTCATTGTCTTCTCTTTAGAAATACAGAGCTTCTAATGATGTCTGTTAGGCACTCCTTAACATGAGACACTATACATACGCATAAGTATTAATCCACATACAAAAAAACTTTCAGAGAAGCAAATATTTGTATAGAAGTAGTGCCCACGTTTAAAAAAATACCCACAAAACCTCTCATCCTATCTTTGGGTTAACTACGTATCAGAACACACGTACACAAAGCCAATTCAGACTGACTTTTATAGGAAGTGTGCAGCATAAATGAAGAACGGCGTGCACACAGGAATGAAGAAGTGAGTAGCATAAATGAAGACCAGATTTTGCACAGATTCTGATAATTTCTGGTTAAAAGCCTTGCTGTTGAAAGTCTTATTCAAGCCTTAAATATGCCACACTGTGGGATGAGTGTAAGCTAAAACAATTCTTAACAGACCTGTTAATTGAACTTCATTAGCTTCTTCAGAATATAAGTATGTGGAGCTACTTTGATTCTTAAGTTTCTAGCTGGCAGGAAAAACAAGCTCTAATTGTGTCAGAGTTTAGCTGTTGAAGAGATCAGTGTTTTATGAGGGATGTAAAAATGGTTCACAGTTACTAAAATAGAAATCTTCGTTTGCTTTTCAAGGAGGGAGGGGAAGGAACATCTGTAACTTAGGAGTTTAGAAATGGGCAATTAAGAAATACACCAATAAATTAATCTTCCTAGGATATTTTCTGGCTTGTGGAAAGACAGTAATAAACACATCTGGGAATTTTCCAGCTGAAAGCTCCTGACTCGTAAGTTGGATCTTACTGGGTATGGTTTTAATCCCGAAATTATGTAACATTTTCTTCCATGTCAACCAAAAGACACTATTTTAACTCTAGATTTTTTTTTTAACATGGCCTAAAAAGATATTCAATAGGACACGGTCTTTTATCAGCTCATGTTTGCCCCTGAAATGCCCTCATAAGGAGAATGATACCATCATGTCTACTCATCCAGTCCTTACAGTACCAAGTTGTAACAGACTTTAGCATCGCAAACAGCAGAATATATCTGCTTTCGAAGCAGTTTCAGGTCAACAAGCATAAAGAACGAGGTTTACTGCCTTTGAGTAGCTCTTTTTAGTTATCCCGAAGACAATGCTGACAACTGCTTGCCCAGATGCAAACACTTTATACTTACCAGCATCAAGACTCCCGGTAGCCGCAGTCCAGCCCATGACGGGGGGAATGGCACCGACGACAGCTCCCACCCACGTGTTGGCAATGCTCATTCTCTTCATGGGTGTGTAACAACACGTGTACAAGAAAATGTTGAAGGCTCCCAGGGCCCCGGTGAGGGGGTTCACTCCCAGCGTCAGCAGGGCGATGCCCGGGACTCCGCAGGAGGCAGCAAAACAGACGGCGAGCAGGGGGCTGCGGGGAGAGAGCCAGAGACACACGCTCAGTAAGATCCAGTCTTAAAGATATGACTACTGACCCACTCCTTTTGCCACCTTCCAAAAATTAAATTGGATTTTTGTTATTTTTCTACTCATCCAGCCCAAATTTTCCCATTTGAACCCCCATCCTAAGAAAAGGCTTTCTAAAAAGTTAAGACAATCTTGCTACAGATTTGCAATGGGAGGTGATTCTTATTCTTGGCATCACTGCATTCACCAAATAAATTCAACCTCTGCAGGTAAATAGCCCTTACGGAGAACCAGTGCTTCCAGTAGATCTTACTCCTTCATTTCAATCTTAGTAAATTTTGACCTCTGGAAAAAGCACTCAGGGTTTAGAGTAAATGAGAATGGTTGTAGCTTGTCAAGATTTTTAATTGATTGCAAATATCCAAGGGATCTTTTGACTGAAATGCAACAGGCTTAGGCACAAAATTAGGAAGCATTTACAAGAAAAAGAGTACGTTCAATCATTTTGAAATTACGTCAACAGGAATAAAGTATTTTTTGGCTTTACTGAAAAAAGGTTGAATTTTCTACATTCCCATTTAGCTTATGCACTACGCTAAGACGAGGTAGCACACCAAAGCAATTCTAGCAACACAATCAAAATCAAAACTTATAATCTGACTGGAATTAACTGAAGAAATTTTAGGTTTGGCCGAAAGCAGCAAACAACAGAGATGCAAATTATTTCTGTTGATTTCTACTGCACATCAGCTAAAACCTTGGGGAAGACTGGAAATTCCTGTTAAAATCTGTAAGAGTGGCTGAAGCTATGTAAACTTCTGCTAATAAGTTCCACAAGAAGCATCCAAATACGATGAATAAGAATTTTTGCTGTTTGGCTACCAAAACCACACTTCACAGGCAGCACCGTGACGCAAGCCTAAGGAAATTTTATTTGTGATCCCTTGCACCAGATCCACATGTTTGCTGCTGGTGGAGATCTCTTCACACGTGCTTGTTCAAGGGTGTTTGGTATAATGGGAAGACAGGACTAAATCCCACTAAGAAATAATGTGGTGTGGGAGACCTCTGGAAGGGAGGAAAATGCCATTAACTGAGTTGCATTTAATCACCCATGTGGCTAAATACACACTTCTAGTCATCCATGTAAGAGCAGAAAATATGTGTGCTTGCAACAAACGTCTCTGCATGAACTTTAGCTTTACACGTTTTGTCTAATTGAAAACTATGCAGCCTTTGTATTCTATGATCGCTCTGCCCTCTGGCCAAATCCTTAACCCTAAAATACGTGTTGCAAGCACTGCTCCAATCCTCATAAGGAAAATTTGCTGGTGGGGATGAATTTTATGGGAGTTCTATCAGCAAAAAATCCTACCATTCAAATTTTGATTTTTAAGACCTTTGTTGGACCAATACAGTATGGACACCCTAAGTAACTGGAAGAACTAAAATGAGCAAGTCTCACACTAAAGATCTGCCTTCAATTTAAATTAAATTGACTAAGTCATTTTATCCAGCTTTTCAAAACCATCAACAGATTTTAGGTTACGGAGCATGCACAGAGCACATTTACGCTCCGGCATTACCAGTCTTGGTGTTACAAATATATCAGGAACAGAGGCAGGGTACATCATTTCCATCCGTTGACAATGAGATGTATAAAATTTGAGACTGTTTTCAGGAGCCATACTGTGAAAGGAGCCATACGGTGCTGTGCCCTCTGGTTTTGCAGCTAGCGGTGTTCTTTTGCAGAAAGGCAGCAAAACACAATCTGTACTGTAAACTGCCTCAACGCCGACTACGAATGCCGTACTTCGGAGACGTTTGCGCCTCTGTAGTGAAAGCCTGACTGGGTCTGGTTAAACAAATCTATCTTGACTGATTCCTGAATAAAACACAGTCAGACGGTAAACACCAGATTTACACAATACACACTCTCAAGGCGACAAAAGACCAGCGTGACCCGACGAGGCCGGGCTACCCACGTTCGCTCCCGCGGGGCTCACAGACATAAATGAGGACACAGTTTGACCTAATGCAATGAGCACTTTTCTCACTAATCAAAAGTGAAGACTCATCTACACGTCTCCGATTCAAACGAAGCCTACACGCCACGAGTCGGTCACGGAGCAGCAGACACCAGGCCTTCATGCCTCTTATGGGAAGGGAAGGCGAAGACTGGGAGTGCAAAGCCCTCCTCCGTGGTTGAACCCAGCATCACGTCTCTCCCACGTCGCATCCCCACCGCAGCAACAGCCCTGCGGTGCCAGCCTTGATACCAGTTGTGTGCTGCCTTCACGCCCAACTGATGGATTGGGAAAGTACCTTTAAAAAATGAGGTTTTCTCAAAAGGGAAGGGTAAAGTTATGTGGCTGAGACCTTCAAAAAAGTTGTTCTGTTCCTGGTGGATGAAAACACATTTCTGTTTCTCAGTTTGTTCCTTTTTGCCCCTTTAAAAGGCAGTTCCTGGAGGCAGTTTGATTAGTGTCTGTAATAGTCCTAACGATCTCAGGGGAGGGCATCAAGTCAATGTGGTCTGTTCTTCATAAGCAGTTGGACTATATTACTTTTAGACATCCCGAAAGTATCACATTTTCTACATCTCTCCGGTGTTTCCTTAACTACCAAGGAACTGTAAAATTCCTCTAGAAGAGTAATTGTCCAACTTAGAAGTGCCTGCCCTTAAAACTCCAACTGAGATCAGAAACTCAAGCTGTGATCTGATGATTCAGCTTTGTTATTTCTGCCCCTTAAAATACTATTTGACATTACAAAGACACTGCAATCAGAAGTTAAGACCTTGCTTTCTTGGTGAGACGTAAGCCAGAGGAGAATTCAACTCACTCTCATGTAAATATGTCACGTTTATAAGGTCTAGGAGAAGAATAAGCAACTCCTCATTGGGAAAGAGAGAATACGTGAGGAAAACTTAGAGAGATTTCGGTCATTTGTGCAGTTCTTTCTGCTTCAGTGACTCCTAGGATTTTAAGAAGAAAAGACTGACCCTCGGCTTAAATCACAGCAGTTTAAGGGGCATTCTGATTTCTACTGGTTTATGGTCTTCTAGGGACCACTATGCATCTCCGTGCTCACATTAGATCTGCAAAAACTCAGGCATGTGGTGTGAGGCTCATTGATTTGGTGCATGCTCCTTTGCTGGGCTGCCTGTATCTCACCAAGGGAGCACAGGAGATCAGGATCTCATCCTGGAGCAGGAGAAAGGCTGTGATGCCAAGTCATCACTGGATTTACCCCATCACCTAATGTCCACGCAGTTCCTCGTGCTACAGCCTCGTGTCATCATGCAGTCCAGCGTGCATTACAGGAGCATCAGTCTTGGGTAACCCAATGTCGGGGAATTCTCACATGGTCGTCAAAAGTGGCTGTGGGGTCTCTGCTGGTTTCCTTCATCCCTAAACTATCCTATGCAGTAAGTGCAGGCTGACGACAGATGTTGGTACATCAGCCTCATTTCACTTGGGCGTTCACTTATGCTAAGGGAATAGCTCCCATGGGAAAAAAAGGCAATCTTCCATTGGAAAATTGGCCAAGAAGCTAGCTCAGAAAGCAAACATATTGAGTAAGAAACTAGGTTTTATGATGGATTCTTGGGAGGAGTTGGTTTCAGTTATTTGGCTGATTAAAATCACACTTTGGAAAAATACTACAAGTGCCAAATGAGTTCTCTTCAAATTTCAACTCTAAAATACCCAGTACGTCACCACATAGGACACCTCCTAAAGGAAAACCAAAAACTGGTAGTTCTGCCTTGTTCCTCCTCATTCCTTTATTGAGAATACACATGTCAAAGTCTGCTTAATAATACTGCGAAAAGACATTCACATTCAACTAAAACCTTTGGAGAGAACTTCAGCTTGAATAGTGACTAATCAAACCTTTCCTGATCCAAAGAAAACGTGTTGACATTTCTCTCCCACAGAGTTCACCCAAGATGGGCCCTCCCCAGTCACACTCCACTGAGAGCATCCAAGAGGAGGAGGAGGAGAAAAAGAGGCCCAGGTTTCTCCTCAATCAACTCAAAGCTTTTGCTGACACAGAGGTGTCTGGAGAGATGCTGTCGGTCAGGCTGGGGGAGGATTGCTCAAGGCCAGCCCAGAGCTGCTGGGGGGGAATGGGGAGCAGGCAGGAGGAATCCCACGTGGGTGATATTTGGGCATTACCTGCACACACGACCACGAGGCATCACTCATTGTATCGTTGATGGCGACTTTGGACAACGCAGCAGCCTATTTTAATCCATGTGCAACAGCATAATCTCCAAATCTAGTTGCCACTTACAGATGATCTGGTTATATGTATATAATTATCTACACACATGTGTGTAAAATATATTTATTTAATAGGCTGCAGAGTCATGCATAATAGTACTTATTGACTCACAGGTTACATGGAAAAATTGAGAGCGGAAAACAAATTAAAGCATTTGCCCATCTATAAAATTAATGTACTACTTTACCTATTTCACAGCAGCATTAGCAAGCTTAATGTCTATGAAGATCAATAGCATCACTACTGCACAGGCTTTTCTATGCTGTCTTTGGCTCTTTGGCAAAACATTTTGTGAAGATGACTGTCAAAGTACAGTTCAAACTACAATTTAAAAAACAGTATTAAAAAGGGGAAAAAATCTAAAGAAAATTTTGTTTGGAAAAAACCATCAAGAAGCTAAACAAAATTCCCTCTTAAAACCTATCAATACTTAGAAATATCGAAAATTCCTGTATTGGCATCTAATGCTTCAACCTACCTCTGTGAATATATTGACACTCATATACAAACGCAGACACAAAGCCCATATGAATCCTGAATAGGCACATTCACGCAACCAGCAGTTGTCTGCAATTCATGTTCAGATGTTACGTAAATACATAAGAAACTTAATTTGTGACCTTGTGTTAATGGGAAATTGGACATGCAAAACATATTTACATAAAAGCATAAGCCTGAATGTAAGCATCCATTTAAGACTGCCTGTATATTTTT